TTGGGCATAGCTGAGAAACTTTATATAAAGTGTAATTTAGTACACAGCTCTACAGGTCAGGAAACTTGGGCACAAGAGAAGTTAAGTAACTTCCCAGGGTCTTCTCACTCAAGCATATCTTTATAGCAAGTCAAGCAAATCAAAGATCTCATCATTTTATTTATTTTTTTTATCAATTTATTGGGGCTCATACAATTCATCACAATACATAGATTAATTGTGTAAAGCACATCTATACATTTGTTGCCCTCATCATTCCCAAAATTCGCTTGCCACTTGGGTTCCCGGAACCCGCTAATTTTCCCTTTTTTCCCCCCTCCCCTTCCCTTCCTCCTCCCCTCTCCTCCATGCTCCCTTAATAATTTATAAATTATTATTGTATCTTATATTACACTGTCCGCCGTCTCCCTTCACCCACCCCTCCGCTGCCCGTCCCCCAGAGAGGAGGCCACACGTAGCTCCCTGTGATCCATTCCCCCCTATTACATCCCCTTTCCCTCCTGGTATCGGATCTCATCATTTTAATAGACCTGGTCTTCTCGGTTATCACAGCAGTAAGATGGAGTGACTAATGGTAAAGTGCTGACAAATGAGGTCATAATGCATAGAACTTGCTTCAGGGCAAAGAATGCTTAAACGTTCAGAGATAGGAGCATAGTGCAGAAAACAGCACGGCTAAATCCTAAGTAGAGTTAGAGTGTCCCAATCTATAGTCCCAGGGAAAGACAGCATTGAGCACATCATGCAGAGTGAAAATTCCATTTGACACTGGGAGCTTATTTCAGCTGTTCTCATTGCGGTGGGGCGGGGTGGGTTGTGTGTGCATGTACATATGGATAAGCGTGTAGGCACACACACACACACACACACACACAACCCTACCTACCTATCCTTGAGCAGGATACATGCCTAGCTACTCCTCAGCTCCAAGTTATTAAAGCAAGACTAACTCAGCAAACCCCTGTAAAGAGTTTTTCCAACTACAGTGCCCTTTAGCAGGTCTGGCTTTGAGCCTGGCTGTGGTCAACTCCTACATATGCAACAAGATATCTCATCAACCTGGTTATCAAGGAGCTTTCACCTATTGCTTATAATTTCATTGTGAAAGATACAGGTATATAATCAAAATTGTAACTATGTGTTAATGTTAAAAAATAGCCTCTTTATTCTGTCCCCTCTCTTCCCTTTTCTCATTCTTCTTTCTTTTTTATTCTATTTGTCCCTACGATTAAGTGCCCCTTCCCCAAGGAACATTGCTGACACTTATACACAGAGAAGGTTAGACTTGCTAGAGACAAAGTGTTCTTCAAACTGGCGAGAAAGAGCACCGGCACACCCCATGCTTCCAAAGGTCTAGACCTCTTCTCTCTAAACTCAGCACCCTCACTCTCAGATGCATACCTTTAAACTTGCCGTTACTAATACCTGCAACCCCTAACTAGTTCACTTCTTATCTATTATTCTCTCAATACTTCAATCCCAACAATCTGTTGACAGCATTAAGACCCACAATTCTACAATCTAGAGGTTCTACCAACTTCTCACCAACTCTCCATCCTTCATGTCCTCTTCTCCTCTTTACCCATCTTATTCCACAGCCAGTCATTATATCACTCGTCTGTTTACACACTCCCTTACCCCCCTCTCACATTGAAGTCTTTTCCAGGAGAAACCACAAACCTAGTGAGAGCTAATGTTCTACCTACTCTGGCCCTGCACCTCACATGGTCCAGAGAAAAGCACACCAGCATACTCTCTTATCACACTTTCAAGATCATTGAAGTCAAGTGGGCCCTGAACCATGCCCACAATCTTTATAATTAGCTCTTCTCTTTCCCACTCTCCTAAGTGCTGATTCATATTGTCCTTCCTCTTCAGACCTTCAACCCCGCCTCCTAATCCTTTTACTCAGACCTCCTTCTTTCTACGTCACCAAGAAAACCAAAGCAATCCAAGAAGAAGTCCTCCACTGCTACCGCTGCCTCCCTAAACCCTTACCCATGGTCTTTGATTTCTTTCCTGGTCCTGCCAAGGCCAACCCTTTCATGAGACTAGATTCTCCTCCTCATGTGGCCTCAGGATGTAACTGAGCAATTCTGTCTTCTCTCCAGTACCATCGCTTTTTAAAACATCTCTACTGAACCATTCCCACCAACATTTAAACATACTATACCTCTTCCCCCTCATTATAGCTAGATAAAGACTATACTCACATATAGTCTTTATATATAGTATATATACATATAAATACACTTCCCTTCACTCACTCTTCTCCCCAGAGCTGCCACCCTATTTCTCTGCCTTCCTTTACAACAACAACAAAAATTTGAGTACACTTGCCTTCTGCATCTCCAATTTCCCTCTTCTTCTCTCTTGAATCAACAGCAACCAATTTCACCCCCACCACTGCACCACACAGTTCTTCTTAAGATTGCTGGTGAGTTCCCCCATCATTTACCAATCCTGTGACCCAGCTGATATGCTTTCCCCTTTGACCTGCATCCTTCTCAGCTTTCAAGATACCATATCCCCGGGAGCTCCTTGTATGTGTCTACCTGTCATTTCCCAAGCTCTCTGGTAGGTTCTTTTCTTACTTCCTTGCTCCCTAAATGTCGGAATTCTCCATGGCTCAACCTTTGGATTTTTTTCTCTTTTGTGCATCTCCTTCATTCTGAGGAAATCTCATCTAGTCTTATGGATCCAAATATTATTTATATGCTAATGATTTTCAATTCGAATCCCTGGGTGGTGCAAACAGTTAATGCTCTTGGCTGCTGACTGAAAGGTTGGAGGTTCAACGCCACTCAAGATGCCTCAAAAGAAAAGCCTGGTTATCTACATCTCAAAAGTCAGTAACTGAAACCTTATGAAACACAGTTCTACTCTAACTATAGGCCCCTTGTGGCTATGGGGCAGCATAAGTACAGACCAGCTCCATCATCACAGGAAGTTCTGTTGGGCAGCACTGAATTCAAGAGTTAGGGTTAAGGGGAAAAATAAATAAATAAACAAACAAACAAATTCATTGCAAAATTTGAATCAGGTTGCTGCTTGTCTGATTCTGCGGCTGAATGCAACATGGCCAAGTAGACATTATCAACAATTGGGTGTGGGGGGTGCTGGTTAAAGCAGCTAATGTAGGGAAAGAGGTGAAATCATTAATCACAAAACAAAGACCCTAGAGCATTGCAGCAGGTGAAAAGTTACTGTTAATCGGGATAAACAGAAACAACTCGCTGGCGATAGCGCATCTCAGAACGTGATAGGTGAGGAGGTTAAAGCCTCCGCATGATTTAATGAAAAATATTGAGGGAGCGAGTGCTGCGCAGCTCAAGTGTTCAAAGCCAGCCAAGGTTGCTTTTAAAAATTCAGAGCGAACAGCCCCACCCAGTGCAGTGAGGCATGGGGAAGGGGGAGGGCCGATAAATTGATAAATTCATGGCTGAGTTTGCTGAGTATGTGAAGACTGAGCGTTTCATTCCCAGCAAGTGTTCAACTTTATGGAAACCAAACATTTGGGGAAAAGATGCCCCAAAGGACCTTTATTACTAAAGAGGAAAAGGCATCGCCAGGCCACAAGCCTGTGAACGACGGGCTCACTCTGTTGTCGTATGGGAACACTAGTGGGGATTTGAAAGTGACGCCATGTTAGTGGATCATTGTGAAAACCCACAGGGTTTTAAACTGGTAGGTCTTTCAGAGAAAAGAGACAGAGTGAGACCTTGAATTAATAGGTTGATTGAGGGAGGTGAAGTTTGTAGGGAACAGGAAGTGAAAGGAATTTAGGATAGCCAGATAAAGAAAGGGTAGAGCTGGCCCTTTGTCTAAAGCCAGAGAATTAGTCAACTTAAAAGGTATAAAGACCACGAGAGTGGCTATTACATAAAGGAAGAGAAATGAGGTTTAATACAGACCCACTAACAAACGACAACAGAGGTTGGTGAGGAAGGAGACTTAAATGGCTCTGGTGCCACAGCCACTGCTTCTGCTGCAGGAGCCCAAGCTTGAAGGTGTCTGCAAGAGAGTGAGAAAGAGAGAGAGAGAGTCACAGGTATTCCAGAGGTCCCACAGGGTGAGAGCAAAGAACAGCCGGAAGAAAGCCAAGAATAGCAAGGGCAAGAACAAAGGATGTTCTTGGGCGTTTAAGTCTTTGGGCCATCTATAAATGTTTGTAGACATAATGAATCCCACGCATCTTTCCGGTTGGTGTGGATCACTCCAATGGGGCAGGCGCTAGCTTCCGCAAGCGGACGTCACTTAAAAATGTGGGAAGATGGGCAGAGTAGGCCTTGTGAACAGAAGAAATGTCTGCTGCCGTCCTTAGGAACACTGCCACCGGGCCCAGATAAGCAACGAAAGATCATGAAAAATGAGCACGATGTGGAGGACGAGTAATAAAGCCTGGGCAACCGTGCGCTGTTGAGTTGGTCGTCCAGGAATCAAAGCAATGGACTCTCGATGGATGGAAGTGGCTCCTCTCGGGACAGAACGTCACCCAGATGAGGCAATGACAGACAGGAGGGTGAACCTGGCAAATGAAAACGCTCCCTCTCACTTTAAGAACATTTTATTAAGAAGGCAGAAGCAGGTGTCCTTAGACCATTTTTTAGTGAAAAAAAGACTAAGAGAAATGACCCTAGAAAGTGTAGTGCCGACAGTTACTATGAAAGGACCTTCCTCCAATTTCTCTCCACCGCTTAGTATGCCAGGAAGCCAAATCAATCTAAAGTACCTGTACAAAGATTTTTTGAAAGATTTTATTTACTCTGTTGTGTTTTGATATTTAATTTACTGTTTATTTTGTTTAGATGTTTTAGAGGATTTCAACAACTTAGGGCTGTTAGATTTCCTGGAAAAATTAATTTAAAAGTATAACTTGGGGGCCTCAGAACCAATTACTTGGTTTTCCGTTATTTTTTATGGGGGAAATATATTCAGTTCTTGAACTTTTTAGTGTTTGAGCACGAATTTGGAATGAATTGTGTTTGACAACCGAAATATCACTGTAGTAGGTAAATATATTTTCAACCTTGGGGTAAGGGCAGATTTCTTAAACAAGACACAAACAGTGAAAATTAAATCAAGCCAAGTTGATCTGGACATGGTGATCCTATGTGTCAAAAAGTAGAATGAAGTCCAGAGGGTCTTCTTGGTGGTTATCTTTACGGCAGACCTTCACCAGGCCTTTCTGCCGTCGTGTTGCTGTGTGGGTTCCAACAACCAGCCCTTCAGTTAGTATCCAAGTTTGCACCACTTAGGGACCTTCACTCTGCAAAAGAAACACTAAAAGATTGATTAATGTTCAAATAAAAAATGTCTTTTCACCAAAATACATCTTAAAAGAAGCGAAAAAGACAAGTTATAAACTTGGAGAAAGTTTATTTTAATATAAATATAAAGGTTCAATTAATATAAATGAATATTACTTAAACTATATAAAAAATTCCAATAAATTAGTAAACAAACAAAAAAGTGGGGGAGACAAAAAACCCAATAGCCAAAAAATATATATATAGACAATTCACATGAGTAAGCATTTCAGAGAAGAGGAATTCAAGCAGCCCTCAGCTGGGCAGTTCGTCTCTGTGTGGTATTGATAGAGATCACTCCCTGGTTTTCAGCTGGTAGATGGGTTGATCTGAGGGTCCAAGATGAGTTGTGCCTGGCACCTTAGTAGAGATAGTTGCAAGGAAGGGTTCAGTTGAGAATGTTGACCAGAAACCCTGTACATGGCCCCTTCAGCACGGTGGTCTCCGAGTAATCAGACGTTTTTATCATAGTCCAGAGGCCCAGAGGGTTCCCAAGTGGCAGGAAATGAAAATTGTCATATCTTAAACCCTGACCCTGGAAACTGACGTTGTCACGTCTACTTTATTTAACCTCTCAAAGCAGTCACAGAGCCCACCCAGATTCGAGCGGTGGGCCTTTCCTATCAGTGGCATCAGTGGCAGAAGTGAATTGTTGTTGTTGTTGTTAGGTGCTGTTGAGTCAGCTTCTACTCTCAGAGACCCTAGGAGCTCCAGAACAAAACGCTACCCAGTTTTGCACCATCCTCAAAATCGTTTGACTCATTGTTGTGGCCAGTGTATCAATCTAGCTCCTTGGCATCCATCCTCTTTCTCACTGACCTACTTTGCCAAGTGTGATGTCCTTTTCCAGGGACTAGTCTCTACACATGTCCAAAGCATGTGGGATAAAGTCTTACCATCCTTGATTCTAAGGAACATTCTGTCTCCACCTCTTCCGAGGCAAATTTCTTTGTTCTTCTGGAAGTCCACAGTACTTCCAATACTCTTAGCCAACATCATCATTCAAATGAACCAGTTTTTCTGTAGCCACCCTTATTCATTGTCCAAAACTTTCATGTGTATATGAGGAAATTGAAAATCACATGACTTAGGTCAGCCGCACCTTAGTCTTCAAAGTGACATTCTTGTATTGCAGCACTTTAAAGAGGTCTGCGTAGCAGATTCATCCAGTGCAGCACACTGATGTCTTGACTGCTGCTTCCATGAGCATTGATTGACGATCCAGCAGAACGAAATCGTGGACAACTGTAATCTTTTCTCCATTTGTCATCATGTTCTCTATCGGCGCCCTTGTGAGAGTATTTCTCTGTATTAAGTTGTAATCCAAAGGAAAGCTGGAATTCTTGATCTTCATCAGCGTTTCAGGTCTCCCCTGCCTTTAGCTAGCACAGTTCTCTGCATATCACAGGTGTTAATACAAAACTGATGCTCATTTGTTTCTTTGATGAGAGGGGGATAGTGCATTTGGAGTTCATTCCACCAGATCAGACTGTTCATCAAGCTTTCTATTTAGAGGTTCTGAAAAGATTGCGTAACAATGTGTGACCAAAAAAAGTCCTGATTTGTGGCAGACAGAAGATTGGTTTTGCCACCACGACAATACACCTGCTCATACAGCCATCTCAGTATGCCAGTTTTGGGCAAAAAACCAGCATGCCTCTCTTGCCCCAAGCACCTTACTCACCTGACCTCTCTCCATGCGATTTCTTTTTGTTTCTGCGAATTAAGAGGGACATGAAAGGACAGCAATTTGTTTGCCACCCCCGTGTAAGTCTTCTTCCAATCTCTGCCACATTCTTCTTCATACAGTCCAGCTTCTCAGGTTATTTGCTAAGCTTACAGATGGAATAAATATGGTAAAATAATACAACCCAGTCACACACCTTTCCAAATTATTTAAACAAGGATTTTAAATCCTTGTTCTGTTAAAAAAAAAAACAACAACAACAGAGCAGGTACAGGTTCTCAAGAGCACAATGTAGTGTTCTGGAATTTCCATTCTTCACAATGTTACCCATAATTGTTATGATCCACACAACTGAATGCTTTGCATAGCCAGTAAAACACAAATAAACTTCTTTCTGATATTCTGTGCTTTCAACCAAAATCCTCCTGACATCAGCAATAATAACCCTCTTTCTACATTCTCCTCTGGATCAGCTTGAATTTCTGGAAGATCCCTGTTGATGTACTATTAAAGCTGTTATTGAATTATCTTCAGCAAAATTTTACTTTCTTTTTTTTTAAATCATTTTATTAGGGGCTCATACAACTCTTATCACAACCCATACATACATCAGTTGTGCAAAGCACATTTGTACATTTATTGCCCTCATCATTCTCAAAACATTTGCTCTCCACTTAAGTCCGTGGCATCAGCTCCTCATTTTTCCCCTCCCTGCTCCCCACTCTCTTATGAGCCCTTGGTAATTTATAAATTATTATTTTGTCATATCTTGCCCTGTCCGATGTCTCCCTTCACCCACTTTTC